CTGCTATGCTTAAGAGAATCACTGGCACAAAGGTGAAAGTAGCGAACATTTTTCTTTTATAATTTCTGGAGCATATGTGAGGCATCAGGTGGAGCGATCATTCCAAACTTCAACATTTTAAATGTTAACACCTGGCAGAAGTAAGCCCATTCACACAACTTCGAATGACCAAAATCCTGCTAAAGCTTACTTGGATTGCAAATGTTGGAAGTACGACACACAGCTCAGGGGTTAAGGTAAAAGGATCACAAAACTCGATGAGAAATGTGCAAGAAACTATCAGTACTGCAGATAGATTGTTTAGCAGGGATTTCCAGATCAATTATTCTGCTTCAGATGACTGGGGAATTTACTGCCTGTCAAGACAGTTCAACATTGACATATGTGCATATATAAGCGGTATACCTCTCAACTGTTTCGACTTTGTTGAGACAGTAAATGCTGCATGTACTAGATTTGTTTCGCTTCCTGCTTCACCTAATACCGGGTTAAAGCATATTTACGACTATATTGTTATATATGCATATATAGATACGCAAACATGAAGTGATATCATTGACGAAGGATTGCATATCTAGTTTCCCATTTACTGAAAAATAATGACTAAACATTTCCTAGAAACAGAAACATCTGAAATTCTTTGTCAGTGAAAGGTGAGCTGTCATTCCGTCCCTATAAATGCGGCTATTTATATCGTGAATTGTTAATTTTTCTACGTGTGTTTCAGAACATAAATGGAATTTATTTTGTTTCCAATCCACATGTGATTTGAGTTATTGACTGATATTCATATACACCACATGACAGTTTTCTGACACATTTTCAGCTATCATGAATACAATAGTATCTTTTTAAAATAAGCGTGAATAATCTACTTCTCTCCAGTTCAAAGAATCTTATGATCTGATGATTTATGACCCCTTCTAAATTTACTCATGAAAATAACTAATACATTCTTTGATTCGGCATTATATTCATTTCGCTTGTTGGAAGTGCGGACTACAATTGGCAAACAGATTCATTTCTTAAACTGTCGAAAATGTACGTATGATTCATCCTTAACTATTTGTAGTCGGTACCAAAGACAGATGAAGTTATATTAGCCCTAGATAGAAAAAGTACGTGTGGTTAGTGTTAATTATAATAAAATGATAGTATTCTGTTTTTGATATTTGTACTCCGTTTTGAATAATCACAAATTAGCATCATCTTGACAAATGACTTTTGAAAACATTATTGTCTGGATTGTCTGAATTAATTTTAATGTGAAATTATGGTTGTGATATGAAATTGAAAAGATTATTATTTTAATTTCAACTATTTTTATATGATTTCGAAAAGATTGTTTTTGTGTGTATATATGTGTGGTGGAACACTGTAAGCATTTATTTATTAGTTAAATAATATACGACGATATTTTTGTTGATAGAAGATTTATTTCGAGACTCTTAAACACATGAATTGGCACTCGTCTTCCGGTGTCTGATGAAGCACTTGATATGTGAGTGTGGATAGAAATCCGCAATAATCACATAAGAATTATACTCAGCAAATCTCAGTGAAATGATACCTGTCTGTACCACATGGTACTTTATTTTTCGTCAGGTGGTAGAAAGACTGTTATAAGCACATATTCACACATCAACTGTATTTCCACAAGTTTCGTAGCACACAACTCCTTCATGGAAAAGATTTTATTTTGATAAATCACACAGTGTTTTACAGTAATATTAACTGATGACGTTTCGAGTACAAACTATCGCTCATAATCATATCAAGTAGCATAATGTTTTGTAGGTAATTACTGTTCTGTTAAAACATTTAGCTTCACCGGTTGGAATATCCAATGGAGCAGTCTTCGTTGAGACTTTTCAGAGGATATACAGATTAAATCAAACTAATTTGAAATTCTGACTCTCTGATTAGCATCTTTACTGAACTAGTGATTTTCTTTTTGCTGTTGATGGATCAGATCTCAAATTTATCATGCCCATTGTCAAAATCACACATTATTGTTAAGTATAAGCGAATTTTCTCAAGTTATCTTAGTATGTGTATATATGAGTATGTGAAATTTTACAACTGAAAATCACTCATGTGGTCAAGGTTCTATTTTCGGTTGGCACACCGTTGAATCTCACCTGTATATATTTAGGCGAAATTAAGTCTGCAAGAGAGAAAACGAATAGGTTGGAAAAAAGCATGAATATCATCAGAAACTCAACAGAATCGCTACTGAATCTCGAGGAAGATCCGTTCCTCTGTGTTACACTAAAAATAGAAGGAACGAAAAAAGAATGCAACTCCCTTACTTATCATATAGTAACTTGTTCCACATGTGATTATCTTCAAAATTAACGGTGGAGTCCATTCTAGAGATTGATTGATAAAATCAGGTATCTGCTTACTTCGTGTCAATCCCCAATAATTGTGTCAAGTGTCATTCGGGCATTTCGTTGTTTGAGGCTTACAGAAGGCAGTTCAACGTTATCTGTAGCCTACCTTTTAGGCTTTAACGCAATTAAATCTTGACTCTTCTCTTTCTTTATGAGAAACCCTTTATTACTTTGTTAATTATGACTGCTTTATCCTTGTTCATATCAATTGATATGAAAAGTGAATGTGTGATCAGATTGTTTAATATACATTAGGCACTAAGTGACAAAGCGGTTAGGACTCTTGCGGACATTGGACGGTGACTGGGGTTCGACCTCCTGCCGACGCACACCAGATATCAGTGTCGGCCTGCTAAATTTCGGCTACCTATGTCATATGTTGAAAATTACATACTTGTACTAAATTAGTGAATACAAAAAAAAATACTTTACAACAGCAACATCGTCTTTTCATAACGCCGCTGTGGAAATTACGGCATCTTGAGTATAAATCACTATGAGTAGTTTTCCTCGCATTGATTAATTATGAAGTGCACGTAAGGCAATTATTGCTTTTTAGCTGGTGACAGCTACGAGTGACATCCATAACCCACATTTCATTCTCTTAGGAATGTACCAAGTATACATGTCTGTTTTCAATAATTAATGGTGTTCCCACTGAAACTGAAACGCACCTCTATGCATTTCACTAAAATCATTTTCCATAACTGACTGCGTCTTGTTATTATTCAAACAAATCTATTATTTCACACTAATGTGGCATTGTGTTTCCTTTTCTTCTTACGAGTGAATAACTAATCACATAATTCTCGGAAGAGGCACAATCCATTGAAATGTCTCCTTTCTAAAGATTGGAAACAGTTTAAAATTAACCAGACCACCATTTAAGTTTAGAATGACTAATAACAGAATACTGTGCATACTTATTTCATCGCTATTGAAATCCTCAGCCAGTGAATTTACTTGCATTTCCTTGAATAGATTGTATTCCTACTGAAACTCGAACCATCTATCCACTGTTTCAGCATATTGAACGGTGTACTACTTGCCATACTGTTTTATCAATTCAAGCATTTTCACTGGTTGGTATTTCTCAGTAAACTATTTAAAATGAACGAAATATTCCCATACTGAGTCATAAGAAAAGGCACAAACAGCGAAGAAAATTTTCTTTTTGACGATTCATTTTCATTCAAAGGTGACATCACAGCGGAAATTCTCAGAAACCGCCTTTCAAAAAGTCTGAAGAAGACATTCCCAACAGCCACTCTACATATAACATTCTCCTGCAGACAGTTAATCCAGTCTAACGTTAAGGACATGATACCGCCTTTGGCCACTTCAATGTGTATTTATCAATTCACTTGCTCGTGTGGAGCAAAGTATATCGGCCGTACGCAACGTCAAGTCCACAAACGTATCCTGGAACACTGCCCAGCTTGGTTAGCCAGAGGAGAAAAGAAGAATACCAACAGCTCAATCCTCGAACACCTTGTTATCTCCGGACATCGAGCACCCCCACACGAAAGCTTCACAGTGGTACACAGAGTCCCTCAATATCGTACAAAAGGACTCCGGATACGACATCTGTACATAGCCGAGGCACTAGCTATTCGTGACATAAAACCGGACCTATGCATACAAAAACGATACATACATTCTCTAGCCCTACCATGGCCAGAGTAAATTTCTAACTATAATTTTTCTCCTCTCTTTTAATACGTAAGTTCACTGTTATTATTATTATTATTATTACTGTTCTTAATACTTTTATTATTATTACTATTCCCACCATCCATATTTTATTACTACTCTATGACTGTTTATTAATAACATTGGTTTTTCACACAGAACTTATACAAAACTACTGTATAACCTTTCCACTAGTTCCTGTCCACTCTACACTAGCTTATTGATTAGTCATTATCTCACACTTATTAGGTCATGCCAACTTCTGTCTCCTTTCTAACTTACAATTAGTCATCCCTTCTTACACCTCACACTATGTAGCAGAATTTTCAAGGACAAAGTTTACCAGTATCTGATTGGTCAAAAACTTATGTGTTTAATTATAATTACGATTGTACAGCTCATGAAAATGAATCGTCGAAAAGAAAATTTTCTTCGCTGTTTGTGCCTTTTCTTATTTAAAATGAGATAGTTATTTTGAAAAAATGGTATTTATACACCAAGTGCGTCAGGTTTTATGATTTATTCTTCGATTTTCAACAAATTTCTTCTTAAAACCAAGCAAGTACTACTTTAATTCTCAACTAATTCAATTTCCCGTCACCCACTGATTTGATTGATGAGTGTTGAGCGATTCATATGATTAATGGCGGATAACAATCAAAGAATACCGCCTTTATGACAAGAAGAATATTAGTGGAATTAATAAATGAAAGCGGAGCACATATCAAGAGTGAAATAAATTAGTAATTTTTTTGGTTTTCTGATAGCTCACAAAAGAGACGACTTGATTGAATCAATTTTATCACGTGGTATTAACTAGGAAAGTTTTGCATATATAAAGCTGAATTATAAAACAGACAATTCATATTGCTCCACTGTAGATTTCCACGCGTTTAGAAACAACGAGTACAAATGCTATTCAACTGCCTGATTGTTATTCTGATTTTACAAGCCTGTGGTAATTAAGACGTTTTCTATTTTCAAAAATTTGATCATCTTCATTTGAAATGTTATTGTAATAGTTAATGTTCGAAATGTTGTTTTCATGTTATAATTAATATAACGATTATATTTTGATTGATGTTGACTAGAAGCACAGTTCAGTAGAAGTGATTCTCCTATATGGCACTCCTTTGCTGGATTTCTTTGTATTATCAGTTAGGTTGAGATTATATTCTGATAAGCTTCCGTTTAAGTAGCCAGTATAGTTACTCATAAGCTGAACCGTTACTACAGCCACCCTATCACCCATGACTGCCAACTAATAGATGTCTCTAACCAACCGCTGATTATAATGGACCAAAAATTGAAAGATTGAAGATTGAGAGCAGCTTGGGCGTTACTGTTTCCTCAACAGTAAAGCAAAAGTTTCTATGATAAAGCGGTCACGTACATGAGCTGTTAGAGAACGACAGTTATATTTAAATGATACAAAGGTGTGATATTAGACTAACCGTATAACAAATGAATAAGAACACAAGGTAATACAACCTCTGTCGTCAGGGAATTATACCCAAGAAGCTAGAAACGAATTGGATAAAGAAAATTGCGGAGTACAGAATGGAAAGAACGTAGGTTCCATACGAAAACTGGTGAATGGTGTATCGTAAACACATCCAGTCAATGTTTATTATTGTGAAACACTGATTGTCGAAAGACAGATTCATTACTGACATTCAACTCAGAGTACAGGAATGACAGTATGTCCGATTTGAATTTAATCGTATCCTGATTATTAAGAAATCAATGTATGTCTGATTACAGTTTGGAAGACTACAAATGTTGAATCCTCTCAATATTTCATTCTATTATTCTTGTTATCAGTGAATACACTGGTATTTATTCAGATAATTTAAAACCATTTAGAAGCCGGTGGAGGTTCAAGTCGTAGTAAGTTATTATGCATTTAAAATTAAGTAACAATTGATGTTTACGATTTAAAAAGAGTGAATTATGTTCAGCTATCCTCTTCAATCAGGTGAGGTCATCGGTGTGAAATTAGCTAAATATTATACATTAGAAGAGAGTATCACAGAGATGTGAGTAGAGTTTTCCATGATATTAAATCATTTTAGCGAGGAACATTTCGTAAGAGTGAAAATGAAACTATAGAGAATATCAGTATTCATATGTGTATTTATATATGGCTAGCCAGAGATTTTTTGGTTTACGATAAATTCCAAAGGCAGTGTACGTTCGCTCCTCAACATTCGCTTACTATTCTGACAGTTCGTAAAGTCTAGTGTTATTCACTTAGTTAAAGCCTGCTTGACGATTCTATCTAACGACAAATGCCTTCTGACAAATTTGAAGTCGTGTTATTTACGTACACATGTTTCGTATGAGAAAAGTAAAGCAACAGAGGAGGGACTCTCACACATTGCCATCCAGTACATATGACTAGCAGCTTGAGTGCAGCCTGATCAGCGACTTTTAACACAGAGAATTCAAGTGATAGTATAACAGATTTGCATTTAGTCGCAGCACAAGTATTCAGCATTCAATGCTTATCTGACTAAAGTGTGAAGACCATACAGGTAAAATTCCGTCTGTTTTTTATTTCATCAGTAAATGAATAAGTCACCATTTATTCAAATACATTAAAACCGTTTAGAAAAGAGCAAAACTTTAACTACTAGTAAGTGTTTATATTAGCTTCTTTTCAATTTCCACTTATGGGTTTTTCAAGGTACCTTCTTTTATCATGGAAAGGCTTTTGTTTAGGATTGATTTAAAAAACATTTACACATTAAAAGGGGGTATCACAGAGATTGGTTCGTTCAAATTCATGAACAAAGTATTGATCGAATATAAACTATCCTATATGACAAGTCATAGTAGAGTTCTACATGGGAACAAATAATTTTCATGAGGATATATCTATGAGAGTGAAGGTGAAATCACAGAGAATATTAGCATTTACACAGATAAAAGACCGTATTGGATTTGGATCTAAATATTATTACCAAAAAGGCTATTTTTGACTATCAACTAGTCCTGAACGCTTTACGAGATATATACATAAACCTATGTATACAGTATCTGTGTCCCTAAAAATTATTCGAGAACTGGTGGAGATAGATTCGCATGATAAATGCATCAGTCTAAAATTGTTGTGTTCAGTGAACATGGTGATGTCTAATGTAACATTTTAAACCATTTAGCTACACAGTCAACTAGAACTACTAGTGAGTTGTTATGCATTGGTTATGCATGTAACATTAATGTTACTTTCGGTTTACATAGTTAGCTTTTGATTAGGTATTTTGTTTTAAAACAGGAAATCTTCAGTTTGAAATTCAATAAGCACTATGCCATAGAAATATGTGGTGTTGGAATGGTTGAAAAATGGGTAATCTGAATATAAACTATTTTACCTGAGAAAGCAAAATATGGTTTTCTATGAGGTTAACTAATTTTTATGAAGAAATGTCAGTAAGAGTGAGGAACGAATTTTCAAGAATATCAGTATTCATACGGGGAAAAGATCATATTCCATGTACATTCGAAAATGACTACCCAGAGGTCTGAATTTGACTATGAAACTGTCTTCGAATGATTTCAATATACGTAGAATATCTCTGTTTTATGAAATGATTTGGAAATGGCTTTGAATGGCTTCAAAGTTAGGTTTTATATTCGTTCCTTAATACGAAGGAATTATCCTTGCAGTTTACAGAGTCTACTGTGATTTACTTCATTTCAACGGACATGATGACTGTATTTCGCAAAATGCGCACTTTGATACACTTGAAGTCATGCTACTTAATAACTTATATTTCATATGAAGGTAATAAAGTACCGCAGGAGAAAATCTCAGTGTAAATATCGTGCTCATAGTGTTCAGGACAGGTAACACTGTTTCAAATACAGGAAGCAGGGTTGAAGGTATCAAAGACAGGAGCAGAAATGCAAAACAGACTGCATATATTACATTATCTCGATATTTCATACTGTCATTCGTATACTCAATGAATATGGAGGTGTCTAAGTAGACATTTCAAACTACCTGGCTTCAAATCAAGATCTAAATACTTATGAATTGCTACGAAATTATTGTGCATGAATATTTGATGTTGTTTATGAATTTCAAGTACAGCTTTTATAATGGTTCCTCTTTTTATCTTAGAAAGTTTTTACTTTAGAATTTACTTAGCATTATGCATAATAATAGGGCGTCACAGAGGTTGGTTGATATTAATGGAATTATCGTAACGGTGTATTCTGTTTTCATGTTTTGACTTAAAATCATGTCGCTTGAAATTTCACCAAAGGATACGTACTAAAATCCATATCAGTTCTACTCAAACTCACTTTAGACTCACAGTAATATTAATTAGTTTTCCTCAGAGAGTTTCTTCTCGAATAAGTGTTAATAAACGCAGAACTAATACTGTGGTGAGAGCTGCCTACAAGCCAAAATGTTTAGACAGTATTGTACGTCAAAGTTTATGTCCCAAATATTGGTCGTCAAAAAAATATGAACAAAGACTGATTCAACAACCAACCATAGCAGACTTTGTGCAGATAGATGCAGCTAACATATAGATGATCTGACATTTCAAGAAACAAAGAGATGCAAGGTAAACTTTCTGTGGGAAACAACCAATCAAAAGACTGTGTTTGTTTGCTTGAATAACCTATAATAATAAACATGAAAATATATAAATACGTGTTGATTTCCTTGATAAACGATCTGTTGCCTGACCCTTGACTTCTGTTGTTACAATAGTACTTTTGGATAAAGTTCATCACAGCTGCATTTTCTTCTTCTCAAGCATGTCTTAAATTCGAATTTATGTTTTGTAAATCACAGACGTCGGGGTAGAATTCGACTGTGTCTTCTTGGTTAATTAATAGATTATGATTACAGTGTGCGGTTCACTTGATACTACTGCAATGTGGAAACGGAGGTAAAGAACTTTCGATAACAAAAGGACCGTTCAAGAGATTCCATCTACTTTTAAACAAAATTAATCATCGATCAATGACTAAGTTGGGTTCACATCTTTATCGACAAGGATCAAACACAACAAACAGTTCTCGCTGACAATCCAAGCTCTTCAGGGGTGAAATTGCAGTTTGCTCAGACAAAAACTTAATAGTAAGAAAACATATTGTCACCAACAGTGCACCATTGTACAATATTTACTTGAAAAATTGAGAGTAGTATTCAAACACATTTAGAGACCAATAAAAAGGACTGCATCAAAAGACATGTACGCGATGGAGCTATAATACACAGGTCAAAGAAACAGAGCAGATAATTACACAATTAGGTGAAATATCCAAACAGGTAACAATATTGTGAATAGACAATTCAGGAGAGATATTCCGATCAATCATTCTGCTCCATTACATTTGCTCTCTTTTGCTAAACATTTCGATTAGTCAGATGAACATAATATTATATTTTATGCCCTCCACTGTATTTGCCAGTCCAGTTAAGTCAACGTGTATTTCACTGTTCTGAGTAATCTGTGACACAAAATGAAAATTTATAAATGTTTGGTTTTCATGTGCAATAACGGTTAATTAGAAGTTTACTAACATTAAAGAGTCTTTGTAAGCTTCGTTTCTTGTGAGTAACTCAGTGTGAAAGTCACAATTTTGGCCATTTCCTGCCCTATACTTGACATTTTATCAAATTATATAAGAGTATCATTTGTCAGTTAATCTGATTCTGTGTTGCAACATTTAATTTCCAGGTTTCTATGAATGCACCCAAAACGGTAAGAGAAAACCAACACTTGAATACCAATGAGATGCTCACTGGCGACTGGCCCTATTCAATTAGGTAGTTACCTGGGTTCCAGTGGGAAGTCCTGACCAGTAGGGTGCAGCTGGTCGGGTGTGAGGACAAATACTCGCCGAAGACATTAGCTAGCAGTCGCGCTATGTCGTGAATTGGCAGAAGTTAGAATTCAAGGACCATTGGATTAGGTCCCAGTGGTTTAATGGTATACAAGCTCGCCTTGTAACCGGAAGGTCCTGGGTTCGAATCCCGGTGGTTTCGTACTGCTGAAGAGTCCCAAACTAGGATGAAACAGCTGTCCAGTACTCCCAGGTTTTCCAATGGTTCTCTAACTAATGTCAGCTCATGATGAAATCCTGAAACCAATCAAATCCCTACAAAATAACACCTGAACACTCTGAATGTTGAATAATTTTTACCTGATATCTAACCATCAGTTCATTTTAGTGTTTGAACACTTTTAATTTTATGTGTAAGTGTTAGCACTTTCAATTCAGACTGGGAAATGCTTGAGTTGACTAACACAATGTACCATCTATAATTTGCTCCGGGATTTTCCATTCTGTATACGACTTGATATTGGCAAGATGCGATTGGAGTACAAGTTAAAAGTAAAGAATGTCAGTCCGAGATAAAATCATTCAAAACACATGATTTTTATAACCTTAGTATTTTAAATGATTCTGGTGAATTTAGCAGCCTCTGTTTTTCATCATAATGTTGAAGCTTGCTCCCCAATTCACCAATTCCCCGATGAACTCATGCTAAACTATGGTGGAATTTATTGCTCGATAGTCATACCCAGGCATCAATATCTGCAGTTCATGATAAAAATTGCACTTCTATGATTTCATGATACTATATACAACACTGGTCATTTGAAAATTTAGTCAGCCCCCAGATATGAATCGCACCTAAGTGTCACTGAAACTTCTGAAGGATGGTTGGTATTAAAGTGACATGAACGTGGTCAACTGTCAAACAAATAATCTTAACTTGCTATGTGCTTCACCTTACATACCCTGATTGCCTATTTTTTTTGAAATTCCCTTCATGATCAAGAGATTAAAAGAAAATTTAAAAATTTTTCAAGCAATTTCAGATAAATCTTGGTGGGATTGTAGTAAGTTACAAGTTCTAATTACAGGACTTAGTGGTTATGTGCATTTTGAAATCCTGCCCTGTCGCGTCCGATTGTCACGGTATTTAGGAGGCTAAAACTTTTCTTCAGCATATTTTTGAAGTATTTAATTGGTGGATGGTGACTATCAGTGGAATCCAGGATGCACATTTCGTCCTATTTGGGACTCGTCAACAGGATGTACCTGCATTTCTCAGTGAGTGATAATGTTCTCACCGAGGCTCGAACCCAGTACCCATAGTTTCAAACGCCAAAGCGGTATCCACTAGACCACCTGGGCCAAGAGAGCCATCTCTTATGCAACGGGTCATATTAATTTAATTGAATTTGAAGTAATTTAATTCCTCCTTCATAATCTAATCAATAGTTCTGATAGGATTTTTACTAGAACAGTGGACTGAACACTCATTGTGAATACAGAATAATACGGGTATTTAATACTTTTCGAAATACTTTTAGCAGAGGAAGAAAGTTTAACCGATGGACCCTGTAGTAAGTCTTAAATTTTAATCAAAACATCACATAAAAAATGCTTTTTGGATTTCTATTAGTGAATTATGCCTAAATAAAGTAGGCCACAAAATTATGCACCCGGCTATTAATATGAATACTATAGTCTTTATTTATTTAAATAGTATGGTATTGTCACACTTCCTTTTTGTACTTCATTAAAACATTTAGGGTTTTCGTGTTCACAAAAATGAGGAGATGTTTGCAGAAAATTTACTTGCATTCAATGACTGATGGTATAGTGGCAGTATATCTGTCAGGGATATCGTTAGAAGTTCTGTTATACGTCAAATTTTACTGCGTAGTTTAGTGTTGGGTATGCGTACTGAGTGGATAAAAAATATGAAGAAAAAAATCAGCATACTCAAAGACGCATTTTACTTATTATTGATAGCGTGACACACTGCTTAGACTCCTACTGTTTCATAAACTTGACAATGAGATCAAAGTTGTATTTTTTTAGTCACACTGGATGGTACAAAGATGCCATTTATGCAGGAGAAGTGTCACTGAAGCAACGTAGTTTGGTTTTACTTCACTCGAGGTCTACCTGTCAGATGCCTGAGGTCTTTATCAGGGAAATTACATATGAACTGTGAGAAAATACAAAGTGAACTGTTTCATAGTATAGACTAGATCAATGTTAGATACAAAGGTTAAAGTAGTTTCGTTCACGGCATATAAAGTTGGAAGCAAACTATATTTACGCTTAGATTTTTATCAGTATTTCTCAGATTTCTAGTATTCAGTCATGGTAGTAGACAAGAGTATTAATTCTGTACTTATTATTGTCCGTGATAAACTGGAAGTAATTCCTTCCTTATCAGTGTGATCGAACTCATCTTAGTTCTTTTAACCTTCTGTCCGTAATGGAAAGTAGTCCTCATATTCTAAGCATGGTTTTTTGTTTACGTTCTATATTTATAAATGGAAATCTGAATTTTTGTATGCCGTTATTAAATTTCAGAAAACACTGCGCTAATCAATTGTGAACAAACGCCTAAATTATGTTATAATCACATTTATATTTTAAGAGGTTCATTTACAGTCAACATATGAATAATTCTCACTTAAGCATGAACATGAGTTGTACAAGCCTGTCGAAATGAAAAGTTGTTGAAGATAATAAAGTGACTAAACTTTCTTAAATAAGAAAGATCAGCTATACATCTTTCGATAAACAGAAGACCTAGTGGGCGAGACTTGAATTTATTAGTCTCTTTTCCAACTATTTTACTTATTTGCATAAAAGTATAAAATGGTGATTTGTAATTGATTAGGTCTGAGTTCAAATTAGAAGTTGTTTTCTGCTATAGACAATGGGTCTGATGCATGAGAATACAACTGTGCGATTAAGCCGCTGCTGCTTCTACCAGAGAGCCAATTCAGAATGTAGTATTCTGAGAATAAGAGATGCTAATTTGTTACTGAAAAAATGTATGAATTCAGAGTTATCGTCACACCATGTGAAACGTTCTCACTTCAAATCGCTTTGTTTTCATTAGTCACTCCTATGCTTAATACGTTTCAGAATGTATTGGGTAAATACAACGAATATGAAATTAGAGGCCTAATGTGAAGGGAATTGCTCAGGTTAGTTTTTCTACTCTATTTTCAAAATCATAGTAAAATCCATTCAAGCGCATGGACCATATTTTCATGAATTATTAACATGTCACTTTATCCCACCGGTGAGGATGTTACATTTCTCACATTCAGATTCCTAGCCGGTGACGGAATGTTTTAGTTTAATGCCATTAAACCAAAGAATGTTTGAAAAAATGCATTCAGTATGAACAAAATTTAAAGCTTTTTTAAAAAAATGGATTTTCAGATACTCGAGCTGAAAGATTAACGTTGAGAATTTGAGTAAACTAGCTTTCAAACTTCTTATAGTATAACAAAGTCACTAGAAATGAAGTAATTTCAATTGCAAATGAAGTAAATGATTTTAATCCATTCAGCTAAATAAATCTTCAACTCAATTTTAGGTAGACAAGTGTGCTGCATACGGTTTAATAGGTGAGTTATTCATTATTCTGGGAAGGGTTAACATGAAAGCTATTGACACAAAGAAATTTTTTCTTTTTAGACGCCTTGGGACAACTCTGAAGACTTAAATTATTCTTGTCCTTTCGATAATTAATGAGGTGTAATGACGGTAAATGTATTAAGTTATATGTTGCTGATAAGTAATCATTGCTATAATAGGATTAGATGGAAAAAGTACTGATTTTCTGTCCAAAGCTAAATCCTTTCAGATATCGTTTATTTCCGTTGAGTCACTAAGTTTCAGTATGTGAATGCACTGTCACTGAAATTGTACGTATCTGGATCGTAATGACTTGACACAGAAGGCACATGCAATCACGGTGAATTTGAATAAATCAGCTGAGTGAGGAATAATCATTAACAAGATTAAGTAGAGGTAAACTTCACTTGACTGTTTCGTAATTTTGGTTGAGCTGCAGTCATTAATGTAGGTGTAGAACTTAGGCATTGTGGTTGAATGCAATTCCATATTAGGTAATTTTATTTTTTAAGTAGCACACAGAGATATAGTGCTAATAAATGGATGACGTTTTCAGCATAAATTATTGGCATTCATAATTATGTAAACTACAGGCAAGTGAACGAAGCGCGATGGCTGAATTTTTTCCTAGGTTGTTTAACTTAGCAGAGTCCCTTATTCCACGTCTAGATAAATTTTTATGTCCTAATAATCTAGTTGACATTGACCTACTAGCTTGACCCATATAATTGACCTCACAGTCATTACACGGTATTTAGTGAATAATATTATTTCCATAATTGAATCTATCGGGTCTTTAATTCAACAAAGTTTTTCTCCGAAAGAGGTGGCTGGTTTGAATTCCTAGCTCTAGTCAACGCCGTCAGTTGGATACGTGAATAAGCGCTCGAGAAACAACTTCCCACTTACTTTTTGATGTAATGGAACTCATCCTCTAGGAATTTGAATGAATACGTCGTTGAGTCATTCTAAGCGTGAATATTTTGTTTGCTTACGTAAAAACAATACGACCCAAAGTAAACTAAATTAACCCGAAAGCCGCCATCATGATACAATATTCATGCGAGATATTGCTCACAGATACATAATCATTATCAGTGAATAGAGTCTTGTTTCAGTGATAATTAAATCCCCGATTAACATAGCCACTTGGGATTTTCTCACTTCATTACCATTTCCAATACTTTTATCTAAGGTTAGTGTTACTGAGGCATTCCTTTAAATTGTGAATATGCTTTAGGAATATTAACGACGTCTTCTTTGATATCAACAAACAATGATTTAATTCTTAGCTCAGTGATTTTTATAACCCTTCATTGTTTCCACATACATTTTGTTTATGATATGATGATATACTTTTACAGTGGTGTTTTCTACTCCATAGTTATTCCAAAGTTAGTTATACAAATGACTGGAAATGCATGAAGTGTCTTTCTATTTATTCCTTATAAATCTAAGTTTTGCTTATTTTTTATGTTTTCGGTAGAAGAACATCTGAAAGCTGTACCTTCACCCAGTGCTTTACTTGACATTTACTAACTGTGTCAACATTTTTGTCAACAATTTATTAATAACAATAAAAGTTAACCAATTATGCATGTCCAAACCAAGTTCACTTCTAACAGTTAGAAATAATCTCGATATTGAATACACGATATTCATTACAATAAACGTTTTTGTATTTCCCAAGGAATGGAAAACAAAACGATATTGTTGTGTTTACTGACGTTTCGCTATTTAATTCAGCTAAAAGTTTTATCAAAGTACTATTAAACCAGAATTTGCAAACTCTCAGCATATATATATAACACCTTATCATCGTTCCTCAACGTGGAGTCATTTTTGCGTTGTCAAGTTGGTCAATTGGTAAAGATAACAGAAGCAGTTGTAGATTGTTGGATTCGATAAGTGTATACGATTATAAAAACAGTGTGTTTTCACATGGTAAAATTGGTTATCACATTCGCATTGAATTTTTCACTTCATGTAAGAGGAGGGTGTTGTAACTAGGTCAAATTCCGTTTTAGTCCATCATTCATATTCAGAAAATTTGGATTCGATTTGCTTTCAAGTGTTTCTGATGAAATGAAACGTTCTTTTTGTTTTGTGTGTTGGATTCGTTTTGGTTCTCAGTTCTCCTGGTGGCATTAGCAGTCATATCATATGTATAAAATCTTTTCTAATTATTTTCATTTCTTTGCGTTCTCAGCAAAGCAAGATGCTTCAAGCTTTCAACTGTGAAATTTCAGCAGCTCTGGTGCTTTTTTTAATATGGTATGAAGCTATTACTTTCATAACCAACGTTCTTTCTTTCAAGGGGTTACCGCCAGCCAAGTGAGGTCAGCAGTTTCATTCTTCTCTGTTTAGACAGAAAAGTAGTGCCTAATTATTGTAGCTGGTGTAATTTTTAAACTCAACGGGATCTTCAGCCTCATTCCCAACCTTCCCATGAAAGATAGTTACAACTAGTTTGAAGTGGTTTTGCAGTATGCATATCGGAATCGAACTATGAACAACGTCTGTGGATGTCAAATACTTTACTACAGAAACAACGATGCACTGTATAACAACAGTTAATATTACTGTACAACACTGTGTGATTTACCAAAATAAAATCGTATCCATAATGGAGTTACACTAATCGAGGACCTGTGAACACACAAATATACTGAAGAAACTAGGCATGAATCGGACACGGGCTCGCGTGACCACTGGATGATATCGCATTTCAGGTCGTCAATCTACTGAAACCTGAATAGTGGACGACGAGCTGAGCGTCCGTCTGAGGTTGACATTGTGGATATTGTGTGAGTAGAATGTGAAAGCTCACGGACAATCTTTGAGTCAGTTAACGGGGACTGGATAAACCAGGATGAAATCGAACTGTGTCATTGTTGTCATATGTTCCACTCGAGAGCTAAGGAAATAACATTAATGACTTATGCACTGTAAAAACGTTCCTCACTCGGTCATTCTCTGCTACTGTGAAAGGCTGTCCATTTGAATACAGGGAGCTGTCATTCAACACAGAAAATTCAAATGTTGCGTGTTTGTACGTGTTCAACACTTAAGGTTTGTCTAGCTGTAGCTTCAAGACAACATGGCCCAAATTCTCCCCATATGTCATTCTATCAATCGTGAAATTAATTAACATGGTGGTAAAGATTAAAAAATTTTGCCGGCACCAATTCTACATCAGTGTGAGTGATTTTCAAGTTATCAATTATGATTTATTGATTTCGTTTTCAAATCACAAGAGTAGCTTTCAGCTAGGCATCATCATCTGTCGTAGTAATAATATTTTTTGACGTTCATTATACTTTTTATGCATTAGACGAGGGTGAATCATATTATATTTCTTCTTTCCCCTCCACCACACACTTACAAACCGGTTGAATTAACCTAAGATCTATTCCACTGTTCGCTGCAAACTGTCACACTTTCACGAAGACTAACAGGCAGTCAGAAGTCAGCTTCAGTTTACTCACATTCAACTGAATCATTCTTCAGCCTTATTTACGAAATTTTTCTCATTGCATCTGAGCTGAGAGTAATTCTGAATCATTTGTTGGATATCAATCAGCGTGATCATGGTGAGGATCGACCATCAGTTCACATACGAGGAGCAATACAAAATGCAGATAGACGAAGAGACAATCAAACATATGGACAGACAGACACACAGACAAATAACACATTCACTGAGTAGAAGTGACATAATTAATTAGTTAATTGACTAATGAAACAATGAATGAATCAATGAATAGATGGGTAGATGAATTAGTTAATCAGTGAATGAATACTTAATTGTGCTGCTTTGTTATTTTGTGATTTCAGTTATTGCAGGTCCAGTTCCAGAATCTGCAGCGGCAGCAGCAGCAAGCAGTGGTTAACCTGGCTGTCCTGGTGGATGCTCTGAAAGCCGTGGAGGGTGTGGGATGCCGTGGATACAGAGGCGGAAATTGTCCAGGAGGCTGCTGCAAAGGCTGTCGAAGACATTTAAAATTAACGCAGGAGACATTAATTAATTAAACAGAATACCTCATTATTTATTCATACAAGCTTTCCTGCGTGAAGAAAATGCTGTCATCAATCATTTCAAGATGGAAACCAATGTACACTTTCAGATCTCGTCTTTTTAACTTCCTAATAAAAGACAGTAACTCCTGAGATGGACTGGAAAATAACTCCACGCGTAAACACTGGTGATAAATAATTGTATCACGCCAAATAGAAAATATCAGAATTATACTCTTTACTGATATGAAACACTGATTCATATGATAAATGATCATTATCGAATTATGATCATTATTCACTGTTGGCGATTGACAGACCACAGGATGTGCACCGAAGAGTTCTGAATAAAAATGGCGCTCAGCAACATCAAGTGGTTCGAGCGTCAGGATGAACGCTCACTCGGAGCAATGAATGGTAGTTGACATAGATGACAAACTTTAAGCAGGTGAAATTTATTGACCATTGGACTTTACCTAACTGACCGATGTGCATCGTATTCCTCTGTCAGTATCAGACTCTTCGTTTCCAACTCTGGTGAGGTGATGTATGTGAACTATTAGCACTGACAAGGTGGGTCAAAACAGTGGTCGACTTGAGGTGGTTCTTTAACTACTGTCCTTTCATTAGCTCTCAAACGATAACTGCATCTCTTTGCCTATTACAAAACAAAATGCTTTTGATCAGTGCCAGATATCGCTTCTGCAGACCAATGGACGACTGAAGAACACTACACTTGGCGTTTCTGTGAGGAATATTCTTCTCGAAGATGATGAAATTCTTCTCTCGAGAATATCGCAGGTTACGTTTCCCTCAAAATGAAGGTTCATATAAATTTCTTTTTGGAAGATATAATGTTTCGTCCTTCTGTGATTTGATATTCTTTCCAGTGAATCTTGACAGGTATCCATTTTGGATGAAAGCTTCATTCAAACAATCTAGTCTTTTTCCTATGGCGTTAGGCTTACAAATGCATTAGACTCCAGTGCCAAGGGATTCAACTGAATTTCGTTTTTGTACAACAGTCCACCAAGTGTAAACACTCCATAGTTATCCGTTCCAATTTGGCTTCCAGTAGGCTGACCTTATTGTGGTTCCCTCAGATTTTCTTGTTACTTGCACCTGAAGAAAGAGAACATCAGGTCTGTTTTCCATTTCCAGAGTGGATTTTATTACCGCAAGGCAAGTGTTGCACATTTGTTGCAATTGATTAAAGTCATAGCTGTTGTTGCGAATGCTGAAAATGTAGTCTCCTCGCCTTATATACAGTTGTAAACTGTCAAACAAATCTTCATGCAAAAAATGATACAGGAATATCATGTTTCGTTTATTCACTTGTGGTTTAATTAATCGACCTGTATTATCGCTCAGGATTAGTTAGACAACATCTGCACGACAATTGTCTCGTAATCTGGGCCTGCCACATTTATGAAATTTACACTTTAGCAAGGCAAGACGGACGACACTCTTTCCTTGATTGGTAACTGTCGAACCCAATGAATCCCACAAATCTCGCCTTCTCATTATATTCTACAAATAGTCGTTTGATTGTTTTTGAAATTCAATCATATATTCATTCCTTGCAGAAGTCAAATATTTCATCATTAATAATCACTTCAACATAAATAAGGCAAGAAATAGTGTAGCACGTGCATGGGGTAACACAGGTCGTTTTTCACAGGAAAGCAATTTTGAACGCTACAAACAATTATCAATAAACACTATCAGAGCGAAAATCTCTTCAATCTTTTTCTACCCTTCTAACTTGGACGGAAGTAGGATAATTACTAAAGTTAGCGACGACGTCTGTCGCCAGCTGACGGGTGACAACGAGTAATAAATTATCTATTTACAGAGTTACTTCACACTAAAAGTACTCAGAACCGAAAACGGAACAAACTACTCCACCACATGTGAAATCCTAGGACTTGAAACACTATGGTTAAGAAGAATGCTGCTAAATATGTTACTCTTCTATTAACATATTGTATACCCGCAGTAATCGTCCTCGGTTTTTTCAGGACATCGGATGTGACCTTAGACACACTAAAGGTACAGTGGCTGTAGAACAATGTAAAACAGCCACTAGGCAAAAGTTTTTCTTGATTAGATATGCATAAATATGAAACAAACCACCTATGGAAATGCAACTAGTGGGCAAGTACGTACTTGATGACACACTAAGTGAGTTTGCAAGCGATACCAGTGCCAATTCCCATGTAAGAGCTTATGTATGAACTTATAGACTACACCTGATTTTGTTTTGCCTCTATTTATAATTTCAGATAAACGCAGCGATCGTGACAAAAGCCCCAAACAAACAAGAGTCGTCAGTATAATGTCTGCATGATAAAAGCAGTGAAACAAAACAGACACACAAATGAAGTATAAGGAAATAAGGTTGAAACTTACCACTGTATCACATGGAAAGATGCCTGTTTCTGAAATGAATGCTATGGTAATACTCTATCAACAGTGGTGAGGAATTGCATAAATCCACAGTTCTCGTCGTAAATGCTCAG